GCCTGTATTAGTTATAGTACAGTAGCAATGGTGGTAGTAGAGGACTGCCTGTATTAGTTATAGTACAGTAGTAATGGTAGTAGTAGGGGACTGCCTGTATTAGTTATAGTACAGTAGTAATGGTGGTAGTAGAGGACTGCCTGTATTAGTTATAGTACAGAGGTAATGGTAGTAGTAGGGGACTGCCTGTATTAGTTATAGTACAGTAGTAATGGTGGTAGTAGGGGACTGCCTACTACAACAGGATGTTCGACTCCATGGCTACATGTCACTGTAATCTGTCTCTCAAGGCTGCACAGAAGAGTAACAAGAACAACAAGAACAGGGCGTATTCTCAGAGAATTTAGAATGTGGATCAATGCAGCTTCATTTTTCTGGTGTTCACAACATCTGGCAGGATGGGACCAAGTGCAAGATGCTTTTATGCCAGACTGGTGAAGGTGTTATGTGTACTGAAGCAGCTGTCCTGAAGCTACGCTGCAGCCTTTGTTGAGATGTTGCTTATCCTCTTCAAGGCCGTATTTAGTGGGCAGAGGGTTTATGGGGATGACCCCCCCCCCCCAGGTATTGTTTCCCTATCAGAAAATGTTTAAAGGCCTGAAAGTCAAGAGGAAACAACTACCAATCACCATGTTTTTTTAAGAAAGAACCAGCTACTACCGCTGCCGCTCCACCCTCCTCCTCCCAGCCACCCACCACCTCACCACCCGCCCACCCCACCACCGGCCTCTCGGCCACACACCGCCCCACCACCGGCCTCCCGGCCACACACCGCCCCACCACCGACCTCCCGGCCACACACCACCTCACCACCGGCCTCCCGGCCACACACCACCCCACCACCGGCCTCTCGGCCACGCACCACCACACCATGGGCCTCCTGGCCTTGCACCACCCCATCACCAGCCTCCTGGCCACACACCACCTCACCACCCACCTCCCGGTCCGCACCACCCACCACCCACCTCCACGCACCACCCCACCACCCACCTCCTGGCCACGCACCACCCCACCACCGGCCTCCCGGCCACGCACCACCCACCACTGCTTCACCCTCTTCCACCAGTGATCCTGTTGTGCCCCTATGCTTCAGTAACCTTATGTCTCCCTATGTACAGTGCACCACTTCATCAAGCTCCAAACTTCCATATATGAATGTAAGTACAGTATTGTGACTAAGTTTCTCATACACAGTATAGGCAGTAGGGTCGGGATATATAGCGACTTTATATTACGATTTGTTTTATATCGCGGCTATCAAAATTATCGACATTTTCCTAAATATAGTGATAATTTTTTTTTCGCGAGGGAAATTGTGCAGGATATATTTCAAATTTATCACTACTACCAAAATTATAAAAAATTTCAATATACAGTAGACTCGCAACTTATGCGAGGGTTGCGTTCCTGGGACCTCGGGTAGTCAGAAACACTCCTAAATCACTATATATATATATACAGGTACTCCTCTACTTATGACCTACTCGACTTACTACCACCCGGACATACGACCGCCTCAGTCGTACCAAAAATTTTTCAAATTACGTATTTTCAAGTCCCGACGTTAGTGATTGCGCTGTGTACCGACAAAATTTTTGTTTGTAATTCCCTTTAAAATGGCTGGCAAGCTTAAAAGTGAGTTTTCTGGTGCTGAGAAGAAAAAGAGACACGCATTTTAGATTTTCTATGTATTATTTTCGCATTTTCAACTTACGACCTGGATTTGGGTCCCTAACCCCGTCGTAAGTCGGGGACTGCCTGTACACGTACATATACAATACACTAGAACTCATATATCACTATTGTAATGTGATAGTACAGGTGATTAATTTTTATCTCTTGTGCAAAATATATGACATTTATATTCAAATTATTCACTGTCTTGCAAGGATTCCAGCAATGCAAATTATATTCTCCTAACTTAAGTCTGTGATATAATATAAGATAAAAACTTTTAGCCTAAAACCGCCCAACCCTGGCTGGGAAGATGAGGGGGGGGGAGGTATGGTGATATGTTTGACAGTTGATGCTTATTTATTTATCTGTCCTTAAGAGTAACTAGTTTTTCTCTTATAAAATGTCACTGAACTGACATGGGAGAATATAATTAACATTGCTGGAATTCTTATAAGACAGTGATTAGTTTGAATATGCATTAGCCCCTGTCTTATAGGCAGATGTATTTATATAGATGGGTTAATTACATTAGACTTATATACTGTATCACCCCCTGTAACTTTCCACTAGCTATGAGGTAACATGTTCAGAGCATGTGATAAGGTCTGCCCATGGGAAGTCACGTCACTTAGTGCTGAGCTAAAGGATTAAGTGACCAGCTCTCTGACCACCTATTGCAGGCAGTAGTTTGACATCACTCACTAGAGGAAGACATTATTTAGAGCCATCGTGGATGGTTCCGTCTTCCCTCAAGGGAGGACGTCGGATATATTACCGTTCTCCCTCGACGAATCCCGACTCATTCTCATTCCTCATTTAACATTCATAGATACAGTGATTAAGTCACGGTGATAATCCTTTTGGAAAGTGTACATAGAAACCTTTTATAATAAACACAGAAAAGGAACACATTGGATTTCACTACAGAAGATCCAATAAATTTTGATCTATATTTTTAGTACAGTATGTCTAAAATAAAAGGTAACGTGCTTCTCAAGTGATTGTTACAAGTGGTGACAACCCAGGAAGGTTGTTACATATATGAAAGTTTCACAAGTAACTGTTATATCACACTAACAGTCACCTCAACAGATACACAGTTGGTAAAGGTAGAGATATTATGTTCTCCCCATTACTGTTATATCTGTTACTAAGAGAAGCAAATCATTATAAAAATAAACATGTTATAGTTCGCAATAGACATAAAAATTTTATTTCTAATTAGTAATTTTATGACAGAAGGACAAAATTTTTATCTCTTGTGCAAAATATATGATGTCTGAATTCAAATTATTTGCTGTCTTGCAAGGATTCCAGCAATGCAATTTATATTCAGCTAACTCTAGTCTGTGCCATTTTATGTCAAGCTTAGTCACTTTTATTGGCCTCCAGAACCTAAACCTACTTTCCCCATTGATTATAGGTACAGGTACAGTACAGTAGGGTACGGATATATCGCGAGATAGGGTCCCAGGATGTCTGCTATATACTGTATTTTGCGATATATAATTATATATCGCAAAATACAGTATATAGCAAACATCCTTGGACCCTATCTTGCGATATATCTGTACCCTACTGTACTGTACCTGTATATGAGTGAGCTAAGGTATTACAGTATATAAGTTGCTATTCACGGTTTTGCCAATTCGAACCATTTCTTAAAACCTATCCTTCGCAAATGGCAAGGGTCTACTGTATAGTACAGAGGGACCCCAAATTCGCGGGGTTATTTTCTCAAAATGACTGCGAATCAACGAATAACACTTGCTGACCGGGGGGGGGTACATTTTTACTTGTGTACAAAGAAATGCATATTTCCTTTATTTCTTTTACTTGTACTGTATGTGTGTAGACACACACACACACACACACAAAAACATAATAATTGGAAAATCGTCTCACAAATACTGTAATGAGAAACAGTTATAATAAAAATGTGACAGTGACAGTCTCTCTCTCTCTCTCTCTCTCTCTCTCTCTCTCTCTCTCTCTCTCTCTCTCTCTCTCTCTCTCTCTCTCTCTCTCTCTCTCTCTCTCTCTCTCTCTCTCTCTCTCTCTCTCTCTCTCTCTCTCTCTCTCTCTCTCTCTCTCTCTCTCTCTCTCTCTCTCTCTCTCTCTCTCTCTCTCTCTCTCTCTCTCTCTCTCTCTCTCTCTCTCTCTCTCTCTCTCTCTCTCTCTCTCTCTCTCTCTCTCTCTCTCTCTCTCTCTCTCTCTCTCTCTCTCTCTCTCTCTCTCTCTCTCTCTCTCTCTCTCTCTCTCTCTCTCTCTCTCTCTCTCTCTCTCTCTCTCTCTCTCTCTCTCTCTCTCTCTCTCTCTCTCTCTCTCTCTCTCTCTCTCTCTCTCTCTCTCTCTCTCTCTCTCTCTCTCTCTCTCTCTCTCTCTCTCTCTCTCTCTCTCTCTCTCTCTCTCTCTCTCTCTCTCTCTCTCTCTCTCTCTCTCTCTCTCTCTCTCTCTCTCTCTCTCTCTCTCTCTCTCTCTCTCTCTCTCTCTCTCTCTCTCTCTCTCTCTCTCTCTCTCTCTCTCTCTCTCTCTCTCTCTCTCTCTCTCTCTCTCTCTCTCTCTCTCTCTCTCTCTCTCTCTCTCTCTCTCTCTCTCTCTCTCTCTCTCTCTCTCTCTCTCTCTCTCTCTCTCTCTCTCTCTCTCTCTCTCTCTCTCTCTCTCTCTCTCTCTCTCTCTCTCTCTCTCTCTCTCTCTCTCTCTCTCTCTCTCTCTCTCTCTCTCTCTCTCTCTCTCTCTCTCTCTCTCTCTCTCTCTCTCTCTCTCTCTCTCTCTCTCTCTCTCTCTCTCTCTCTCTCTCTCTCTCTCTCTCTCTCTCTCTCTCTCTCTCTCTCTCTCTCTCTCTCTCTCTCTCTCTCTCTCTCTCTCTCTCTCTCTCTCTCTCTCTCTCTCTCAAGGAAATTACCATCTCTAGAACGAATGGCTCCCTGTCCCGGCCGCAAAAATGTCGGCAACTTTAAAACTACCCACAGAACTTCTTAGGTACATCCAGGGTGTCATCTGCGAATAATAAAGGACCGCGAAATAAAAATCCGCGAACTTGGGGGGCCCGTGTATCTTCCTATAGAATCCATTAAACATCTAATATTCAATTGAATTCCAACATGGCCACCAGTTCTGTACACTGGGATATTTTATAAATTACTGTTTATCACAATTTTACCTGGAAAATTAATTCGTGAATTGTGGGAATAAATTATTGCACTGTACAGCAAATAATGTAACTTACATAGAGAAAGTGGCATCTGGCAGCCCCAGCCAGCACATGTCACTAACTCTGTACTGTACTACACTAATCCAAGTAACACTACCAGGGGCTTCCAGGTAAGAACAAGGTGTTACAGGTAACAACAAGGTGTTTGTCTGTTACTTACCAATAACTCATCCATACTCGTATTCCATTTTTCCAGGTTTATCCTCTTGATGGCGCACTTCTCGGTGCGAGGGATACATAGAGCAGAGTGTACGACAGCTGTGGCGCCAATACCTGTCAAGAGAATATTGCTTTAGGCTTGGTTATGTACTGTACATCATCACAATTCACCTTGCAAAACAAACATCTACAGTACTGTCTTTCATCTTTGATGCCAGTAGTGCACATATGGTGTTTTGATGATGTATCAAGCACACACACATGCACATACTCCACAGCAGAAAAATGTTTCAGCAGTGTTACTGAGTCACAATTAGAGTATTGTACAGTACATTATGCAGTTTACACTGTACTGTTGCTAACCCAACAACTGTACATAAAATACAAGTACATGTAGTTTATCTGACCTCTACACCACACTGGGTCATCTCCTTAACTAGGAGTAACATGTAGCACTAAAAGTGTTAGCACATGGTAGTAGGCAGCTATCAAACAGGGAGGAACTGGGAAGATATTGGAAGCATAATGTGTTGTCTAATGGTAGACCCTGCTGCCATACTGTATGTGACCAAGACCGAGGTTGATGATCTGACTTTCTGCCTCATTGACACACAATTGCAGGGTCTCAATTGTTTCCCTCACAATGCAGCACAGCACAACACAACATACATATATTGTTTCTTACAATTAATCTTATTTTTTATGATCCTTTATTATTATTATTATTATTATTATTATTATTATTATTATTATTATTGTAATTATTATTATTATTATTATTATTATTATTATTATTATTATTATTATTATTATTATTATTATTATTATTATTGCAGTATAGTCTGGATTTACGCGGTCAAATGAACCCGTGGAGGTCCGCGTAAAACAAGAAACGCGTTAATGAAATAACAGAATATATGGGATTAATTGCAATAGAGACTGGGCCGACCCCCAAACTCCACTTTTTCCGACACAATACGTACCTTGTAGTCAGAGAAATATCAATAATATTAGGTTTTTAACACTTACATAAGAAGAAGAGATGGCTGGGCACACGGGGATGGGGGGTTGGTTCCGAGGCAGAGGGCGGATTATTGGCCCTCACTTGTATCACTTGTATCAATTGGATCACTATCCACCACAGAGGCTTGCAGGGCCTCTTTGTCAAACCCCTCAAAGTCCATATCCTCACTATAACTATCACTATCACTGACTTGGGCCGGCTGTGGTGGGTGGCGTGTGAAGAACTCGGTAATGTTTTGATGACTGGGCGACCTTGTGCGCACCCTGCCTGCGCCGCTTCCCGCGTAAATGACCTAATTTACTGTGTAATTAAAACATTTCATTCTGGCAAAGCACCGCGTAAATGACCAAACGCGTTAACAAAAACTGCGTAAATCTAGACTATACTGTATTATATTTTTATTTAATTTTTTTTTATTAATTATCATAATTACAGGGGGTCCCCAACTTAAGAATGTCTGCCGATACAAACGAGGTTAAACTTTAAATTTACAGTATTTTATTTACCTGATGACTAGTTATTTTTACCTTCATTTACTGTATTTTGGTATGATATGGTGGGATTTTAAACATTGTTCTGTAAATACAATTTGCACAAAGCATGTTTTATGACTTACGTACACTTCCGAATTAAGAACGACCTCAGGAACAGAACCCATTCGTAACCCTGGGACGCCCTGTATTATTATTATTAGTGATATCTCCATTAGCTAGGACAACTGGTGCAGAGCACTTCCGGGAATGAGAGATTTCTGGGTAACGAGACGACTCTTTCAATGCCGGAAAGTATCCCTCATCCCCGGAATTTTCCAGGTAACAGAAAAATGTTCTTGGAAGTTTCAGAAATTGTCCATCACATAATCTCTCAAACCCGAAGATAAATTCCCCCATCCCCGGAATTTTCCAGAAAAATGTGCCACTCGGAAAATCGTTCCCAAAGCCTGAATTTTCCAGAAAATTCAGACTTTGGGTTCCGAGAAATTTCAATTCAAGCTAGCGGAGAGTTCTGGGTTTGAGGGATTCCGGCTAATGGAGATACGTATTACAGTATTTTTGCCCCCCAGGCTCAGATGTGGGTCATTGACCTGTGACCTGGTGGGTTAATCCCATAAAAAAAAATACACAAGGGTTGGCACCATACACAAGGGTTGGCACCATACACAAGGGTTGGCACCATAATGAATCTATCAGACAAAAGCTGAGAAACAGCACACATACACAGTAACTATTATAGTGAGTACAATACATAATTTATGGAGCTATAGCCCGGACCTGCCACCACAAATGTGGCCTGTGACTCTGAGAAACCCATTCCCACTGCCCGCACGCAGCTGTAACCAAGGAAACACACCCCTACATAAAGGACAAGGAAGTCCTTTCCTCAGATTTGTGAGAGTACGGGCCGGTCACCTTGAAAAACTGAATAAAAGGGGCCTGTACAAAGCAGTTCAGGAGACAGAATCCAACTGCAGTTAGACTCATACTCAGGTGCAAGACGTGACCCAGGCAGGGGATGAGGACCACTCCCGCAGCTGTGAGCCGGCAGGTCCCGGCAGGTCACAAAGTCTCCACTCTGCTGAGCCTCCCACATGTTACACTTGACTCACTGTCAGAGCTATCCATAGGGTGAATCCTGTAGTAGGAAGTGTATCTACGTCATGTTTATGTCCGGGTGTCATTCTCTGGTCATAATCTGTCTCTGGTAACAACAATGTGTGTTACTGTGTGCCGTGTTCATTCAGTTAACTAATAAATAGTTGTTTACAAGGTTACCTCTTAGATCATATTAATGATATAAACTTGTGTCACAATCCCTCCTCCTATAACTCTCACTATAATGATGCCAATGATGTCACAGGGACCCATTACAATGGTGCCAACAGCAGTAATTACATAACCATACACAAGGGTTAGCATCATATGCAAAATAACCTAACCTAACCCAACCCTACCCCACCTAACCCAACCCCACCCCACTTGCCAGCAACCCCACCCCACTAGCACAACCCCACCCCACCTAGCACAGCCCACCCCACCTAACACAGCCCCACCCCACCTAACACAACCCTGCCCACCCCACAACCCCAGCCCACCCCGCCAGCAGCCCCACCCCACCTAGCACAGCCCCACCCCACCTAGCACAGCCCTGCCCACCTAGCACAGCCCTGCCCACCCCTGGCACAGCCTGCCACCTAACACGGCCCCTGCCCCACCCCTGGCCACAGCCCTGCACCCCACCTAACACAACCCCTGCCCCCCCCCTGGCACTGACCCTGCCACCCTGAGCCACTGGCCACTGCCCGCCTGGCAGCCCTGCCCCCACCCTAGCTCGGCCCACTGCCCCACTGGCACGGCCACACACACCCCTGGCTCGGCCCTGCCCCACCCTGGCACGGCCACCACACACCCCTGGCACAGCCCTGCCCACCTAGCAGCCCTGCCCACCTAGCACAGCCCTGCACCCACCTAGCTCAGCCCTGCCACACAACACAGCCCCTGCCCACCTAACACAGCCCTGCCCACCTATAACACAACCCTGCCCACCTGCTCCAGCCCTGCCACCTAACACAACCCCTGCCCACCTAACACAGCTACCCCACCTAACACAACCCTGCCCACCTAACACAGCCCTGCCCCACCTAGCACAACCCCTGCCCCACCTAGCACAGCCCCTACCCCACCCCTAACACAACCCTACCCCCTGCCTGACGGCGGCGCAGCACTAGCACAGCCTACACCTAGCACAGCCCTGCACCACCTAACACAGCCTACCCACACCTAGCATTTCACCCCACCTAGCAAGCATGCCTCACTTGCTCAACCCTGCCCCACACCTAGCACAGCCCTGCCCACCTAACTCAGCCCTGCCACCTAGCACAGCCTGCCACCTAGCACAGCCTACACCACCTAACACAACCCTGCCCCACCTAGCCCAAGCATGTACCTCACCCAGGCTCAACCTACCCCACCTAGCACAACCCTACACCTAACTCAGCCTGCCACCTAACTCAGCCCCTGCACCACCTAGCACAGCACCACCACCTAACACAACCTGCCCACCTAGCAAGCATACACTCACTTAACTCAGCCTGCACCACCTAGCAACCCTGCCCACCTAACACAGCCCCTGCCCCACCTAGCACAACCCCTGCCCCACCTAGCACAACCCCTGCACCACCTAACACAACCCTGCACCTGGCACAGCCCTGCACCTAACTCGGCCCTGCACCACCTAGCACAGCCCTGCCCACACCTGGCACAGCCTGCCCCACCTGGCACAGCCCACTGCCCACCTGGCACGGCCACTGCCACCTGGCACAGCCTGCCACCCCTGGCACAGCCTGCACCCCACCTAGCAGCCCTGCCCACCTAGCACAGCCCCTGCCCACCTAACACAGCCCTGCCACAGCACAGCCCTGCCCACCTAACACAGCCCTGCCCCACACAACACAGCCCTGCCACCTAGCACGGCCTGCCCGCCTGGCACAGCCTGCCCCTGGCACGGCCTGCCCACCTGTGCAGCCCTGCCCACCTGGCACAGCCCTGCCCCGCCTAGCTCGGCCTGCGCCGCCTAGCGCAGCCCTGCACCACCCTAGCTCCGGCCCCTGCACTTGCCTGGCACAGCCCTGCCCCACCTAGCCTGGCCCTACACCTGTGGCATGACCTACTGCCTGGCACGAGCCCTCTGCACCTGGCACTGGCCACTGCACCTGGCACAGCCCTGCCCACTAGCACAGCCCTGCCACACAAGCACAGCCTGCCCACCTAACACAGCCCTGCCACCTAGCACGGCCCTGCCACCTAGCACGGCCCTGCACCCACCTAACCCAAGCATACTCACTTGCTCAGCCCTGCCCACCTGCTTTCAGCCTGCCCACCTAACTCAGCCTGGCACACACAGCCCCTGCACACCTAGCACAGCCTGCCACCTAACACAGCCTGCCCACCTAACTCCCGGCCCCTGCCCACCTAACTCAGCCCTGCCCACCTAGCTCAGCCCTGCACTTGCACCTGGCAGCCCTGCGCCGCCACAACACAGCCTGCCACACCTGGCACAGCCCTGCCCACCTAGCTGGCCCCTGCCCCGCCCC